AATGTTCTCTCTCTCTCTCTCTCTCTCTCTCTCTCTCTCTCTCTCTCTCTCCCTCCCTCCCTCCCTCCCTCCCTCCCTCCCTCTCCCTCCTGATGGGGAAGACAGACAGTTCAATGGGTAAAATGTTTGCTGTGCACACATGAGTACCTAAGTTTGGAACCCCAGAACCCATCTAAAGCCAGACAGGACAACTTGCATCTACAACCCTAATGATCCAACAGTGAGATGGGAGATGGAGCCATGAGAATCCCAGGAAGCTCATGGATCAGCTAGCTTGGCACACAAGGTGAAAAGCAGCAAGAGCCTGTCTCAAACGAGGTGGAAGGCGATGGCCAACATGTGAGATTGTCTTCTGACCTCTATTCATGTACTGTAGCACACAGGAACACACACACACACACACACACACACACACACACACACACAAATAAATAAGAGTATATGTGTACAATATACATATGTGTGTATATGATCATTGAATAATACAATTACTTATCATCTCTTTATAAAATAGAAGCATTCAGTCTTCCAAAGTATTTCATTTTAGAAATTTGCAACTGGGGTATCTGTTATTGTAATAGCATTATATTGATTACTGTGATTAATTTATTTTCATTTTTATATTTAAAGAAATTTGAAAAATAACTGTTTTACCCCAAATATTACCTCAATCAATAATTTTGTATATTTTCTTATAACATCTATGTCTATGTAAATTTCAAAGCTACAAAGACCTCAGTGAAGTTACATAGTGTTTTGTGAAGCAAAATCATATCAAAAACATGTTTATTATTGTTATAAAATCCTTTATAAGTCTTAACCTGAAAAGGGTGCAATGGTTCTGCTTTCATTTTTTTCTTATTGCTAATGCATTGCATATCAATATTGCCGTTTTGATCAATATTGTTAAGTTTCTTTCCAAAGGAAATATGTCCATTTACTTACCAATTGCAAATGAAGTTCTCCTTTCAAAGCACACAACCACTACCCTTAGTGTTACCTTTTCTATCTGTCTGTCCTCTCATGCAGTAAATAGCATTTGGTTTCACTTAACATCAAGGTTCCTGCTGAGGCTGAACACTTCTGGTCACATCATCTTTGTTCCCATGAACCCATTCATGGTGATGATCATTTCACACATAAAGCAAGACTGACTGCCACTGTATAGATGCTGACCATGTCTTTTCTTCATTTGTCAAAAGAAGAGACCTCCCACCAATCGGAAAAGTGAGCAACTAATTGTGGAAAATTAAGACCAAAGGTTTAGAATAAATAATGGTATTAGCAATTCTTCTTCAAGTGTACAGAAACTATCACATGCCAGTCCTTGAAGCATGACTTGCCAGGTAATGAATCAGAAACAATTCTAAGAAAGAGAGCTTCTGTTTAAAAAAAAAAAGACATCTAGATAGCAATTGTGCAATAGAGACTTCGGGGACTTGGATGAATGAATGAATGAATGAATGAATGAATGAATGAATGAATGAATGAATGAATAATGATGATGAATTTATATGTACTGAGTTCCTGGCTGGTCTGTGCCAATTATTTGAGAAGTAGCAAACAAAATTTTACATCAATAAAGCCAGGATGAAATAACGATGACTAGGAATCAGGAAAAAAAAAAAGTTCTAGTTTTACAAAAGTATCTTTAGAAAAAAAAATTAGTTAGAAGCAAGGCATGACTGGAAGGCAAAAAATTCAAAGTAAATGAGATGTAAAAACTCCCTGAAGAAATCCCCACTCTTGTGTTTAAGTGGGAATGCATGAAAATGAAATACACAAGGAAGAGTGGCCAAGTCAAGTCTGTGGCTTCATTAGCCAAAGAACACAGCAGGCCCACAGTCACAGTAAGGATGTGGACAAGGAAGGCTATGCTTTGAAAGAAAAAGATGACAACTATACCCACATAAAAGGCACATACTTTCTTTGCTCAGAAGTGAGGGCATGCTGATAGAATGTTCCCTCAAGTTTAAACAGGAAGATTTCAACTTGTTTTAGAGCCTTGCTAACATGTCAGATGTTGATAATGACAATGGACAGATATCAAGTGGTTTAAGGAAGGGTTTTGTTTTGTTGTTGTTGTTTTTTTTTATAATACCCAGTGTCTTTGGAAATTCATTCAAGTAAAACATGTCCATTAAGATCCCATTGACAAGTTGAGGGCTAGAAAGCAAGGAACCAATTATGATGAATGTGTTTATCAATCTAACATTTGATAACATAAATGTTGAAGTGATATAAAAGAACTTGAAAAATGAACCCAGAGAAGAGACCTTGTAAAATTGGTTTCACGCAATAAAACCCCAAGGTACATGTGATTTATAGCCTATGATAATAAAAAAGCAATCACTTATAAGCCCCCAAGTGTTTGAAAACACCTTAAAGAGAACAAGTTCATCCACATATGCAACATGTAATTATATTTAACAACATTAAATTTTGTTGTACTCATAATTGTGTTAAATGTCGTTACTGTTAGTTGAAATAAAAATATCAGATGCAATCTAACTTAATACAAGAGTATCAGATTTATCCTAGGCTGACATTGGGTGCATGTACAATTTGTAGAGAATGTATAAAAATAAGCTGTTGCAAGTGAGTTAGCCAAGTATATCGAGGACAAGTGAAAAGAAAAGAGAGTAGACAATTCCTTAGAAAGTTGGTTTGGAACTCAAGTAACCTTGGCAAAACAAAGACAGTAAAACATAAACACAGTGAAGTGAAGTCCAAGTGGGGTCAGATGTCAGTCATCGCAAAAGATGAAGGAAAACGTCTGTGAATAAAAGCTGTGGAGGATTGATGTGGGGAAAGAAGGCATGTGTGTGGTAAACACTGAACAGCAAGAGGCCCTAAGTTAGTCATATCTGACAATACTTGCATAAAGCATATTTAGAAAACAGACTCTAGAGAGAATTTAAGAAACAAAACTGAAAGTTTATTGGAAAGTTAAATATTGAATAAAAATTTAAAATTACTACTCTGACAGTGGCTATTAAAAGTTAAAATCAAGGCATGTAGGGTTACTAATCAAATTCAGTCCTCCTTAATGCTGAAAAAAGGAAATTATCCAATGATAAATTTAAAGGATATTACAGAAGAAGCTAAAACATTGGAGTTTATGATTACGGTGTTTTAGCATATCACACATATTTATGTAAAGAAGTGGGCATATGTATGTATAAATACATATTTAAATAAATTTAATAGTTCCAGTCACGAATAATGTTGAGCAATTTGCCATTTATCTCATTGTTGGGCACCTGCATACCTTATCTGTAAAGCTTAGAGGCAATTCCTGGAATTATCAACTGCTGTTCCTGTTTTATAGCTAGTCGTGTGCCCTAGCATTGTGAGTAGTTTGTCTAACAGCACCGAACAGTGGCAAAGCCAGCATCAGAATTCAGCTCTTAGCCAGTGCTCATCCTCTCCCTCCGTGTTGGTTGTACTTGGAGAAAGCAGGCATAACAGCACAGAATGTAGTTGGAGAGAGTGGGCTGGGCAAGAACCAGCAAGACAGAAAGCATGCCCAAGAGTGGGAGTGCAAAAATCAGACTTCAGAGCTCAGAAGTCTTTACACCATCACATGAAATGAAGATAATACAACTTCAGTAAAAGTCAGATCATGAGAGCATGAAGCAGTTGCGACTCTGGATATTACATTTAAATATTAAGTTGAGGAGAATAGTGTGAGAAATACACTAACAATCTTTCTTCTGCAATCCAGGTCAAGCAGGTCAGACTGAAACATGGCCAGACTTAACTAAAATAGCAAATCATGTTCTGTAGTTTTCTACTTTATAGCTCATTGCTTGTAATTCCTTATTCTAGAACCAAAGAATTAGAGTCATTTAGTGTCATTGAATTTTCATATTCATCTGGAAATAAGATGTAGAATAACCAAAAAATAACCAATTCAAGAAGTATTTGATAAAAAAATGTGCCAGTATAACCAAACGATATATATCAGGAAATAGAATTGGCTTTAGCTAAAAATGATCTCAAGAAAGTTGACAACATTTAAGTGCCTGACCTGAATTCTTAAAGGCAAATAATATAAACTATATAGATAGCTTTATATAGCTAGAAGAAACCTTTAAAATATTTTTTCTGGTTCTTTTATTTTGTGTATTTTTTTTTTTTTTTGGTTTTTTGAGACAGGGTTTCTCTGTGTAGCTTTGCCCCTTTCCTGAAAGTCACTTGGAAGCCCAGGCTGGCCTTGAACTCACAGAGATCTGCCTGGCTCTGCCTCCCGAGTGCTGGGATTAAAGGCATGCACCACCATTGCCCGGCTATTTTGTGTATTTAAGAAACTGACATATAGGCAAATATATAGTCACTTCATTATTCTTGAGCTATTCATTACTGAGGCCTTTAGTAAAAGCTTTTAATTTAGTTTTGAAAAGAGTCAATGTAGACTTGAGCTCCAAATAATTGCCAAATTTTAAATAAAATAATTTTGTGAATAATTATTTCAAATAAAAATAATGTTTTGAATATGTAGTGTTAATACTAAATAGCAAGAGGAAAGATGATAATAACTACGTCAGTTGAGCTAATCTTGGTCAAAGCATTTTCTTAAAACTTGACCTAAACATGCTTACAGTGGAAATTTCACAGAGGAGAATGGCTAAATCATTGGATGTGTGCTTATTCTAACCGGTAAAATATTTCTACGAAAATGTAAAAAAAAAAAAAAAAAAATGAATTCATCAGCAGCCTTCTTTGCACAATGATTATTATTGCCAAAAGCCTCCGATCTTATAATGTGCTGAACAGAACAAACTGCTCTGAAGGACTTGTTTTCTCAACTTGTCAAGAGTAAACACAAATGATTTTGCAAGACTCTAAAGAGCAACCTTCACCATGAGGAGAGGTGGTAATTCGGGTCATGTGCCAGGACACTACTGGACCCTTTTAAACTAAACATGTGTGATGATCACAGCTTAGAAGTATGTTGTGTAATGGGCTTGAAGGTACCGACTTAGTGAAGCAAGAGAGAGCCATTTACTTTAGAATGACGTTGAGGACTTTTTAAACAGGCCATCTACGCAAATTTCTATTCCACTCTATTCAACGGGTCAGTTTATATATCAAATCTGACACCTTCTGAGGCCTCCTACTTTCAAGGGAATTTAATCTAGGAAGATGTGTTTCACCTTCTCGGAAACTGGATGAATGCTTTCACAAACTTTAAGTTCCATTATCCTAAAATGTTATTGTAGATCGCCAGGAAAGCAATGTACAATTATTTCTCCCTCCAGTCTTGTAGGTTGTGAATGGTATTATTATAAAGCATTGAGTATTGTGGTGTTGTCATTGGTGGCGGTGGTGGTGGTGGAGGAGGTGGAGGTGCTGTTGGTGATGCTGTTGTTTATAGAGACTAATTTTTTTTTTTTTAGAAAATGAATGCTCTGAAAGGAAAATGATAATAACATAGAGATGAATAGCAACCAAATGAGAAAGAAAGAGAAACCAACATGCTGATCTTTGAATTCTATTAACTGATAGAAATTAGTCAACGTCCTCCTTGAATGGCAATTTCTGGTGTGGCTGAATGTTGGAGAATTAAGTGTTTTACTCTGGTGTTGTTTACTTGATGTCATTCATCCATAACCTGTGCTCGTCTTCATTAAGATCATTTACAGCTCAGAAAGAAGAAAATATATTTCCATCAATTGATCCTGGATTAGGAAATAAAGGGTGTTCTTAGAAACTCCAGAATCTGCAAAAGCAAAGGAATCATTTTTTTAAAAGTTAAAAACTATGAAAAGATTTCAAAGTGTTATGTTTAAAAGTTAACTAACTAGCTTGGAATTTGGGAATGTGCCTGTAAAATCCTAACACTTGGGAGATGGGAAGGCCAGGAGTTCAAGGCCAGTCTCTGCTACATAGGAAGTTTACGGCCGGCTGTGCTGCAGTAAACCCTGTCTCAAAAAAGAAAAGTAAATTTAATTGACTGTAATGAGATGCTGAGGTTGAACAGTAGTTCTAGAAGTTCAACAAAAAGAATAATTAGACAAGTTTTAAAGAGTAGGAGAGATGGCGTGATCAAAGACTAAGTAGTACTGTGTTAGTCTAGATGGCTCATTAATGTTGCTTGGAAAAAGAAAAGTTTTTCAAATGTGAGTAAGACCTATACTAACAATGGTGAATGCATTCTTCAAAAATTAAATGTTCTGACTCAAAAAGTCACTTGCCATGCCTGGTTTTCTACTATTGTCTAACCAATTCATTTGTAATTGATTCACTTGGTAGCATTTCTCTTATTACAATCTATATATGTTTAAATCAAAGATAAATGGAGGACTTTGGGGGGGAAAGGCTTGTAATATAAGAATGCAAAAGTCCAGGTATGAAACATTGTTACTCTCACAGAAACTGAGGAATCTCTCAGAAGTGGATCCAACTTAACTCTAAATCTCAAATGTCCATACAACTGTAGACAGACTGATCCATAGACAAACCTTTAAATAAAAGACAAACATACTTTAAATTAAATCACTTCTTAACACTTCATTGTTCTTTTGCTCTTTAGGGGACAAGGCTAGAAAACTTGAGTCATAATGGAAACCCCATGCCTTTGCCCAGGTACTTTTCAGGACTGTAATTTTTATTCACAAGTGAATCAAAACATTTCAGTGGTTCTCTGAGCACAACATAAAAGCTTTGCTGTCTGCTAGGTTTTTATTTTAGTTTCCTTTTCAAAACACAAAGTAGTTACTTACTGCAAAAACACAGCACAACTTGTCTTACTAACAGCAAATCAAAATGCTGCAGTGGCCTGAGAAACAAGAATTGCAAATATGGAAATAAACACCTAGATTGTCTCAGAATTAAGTTCTAAATTGTCTACGTATACAAATTGCACTTGTAGCTAATTAACTATGAGGCCAGACTAAGTGCCATGAAAGTCCATGTTTTAAAGAGGCAGCCCTCTCCTAAATAATGATTACATTGAACTAAATGCTTATATAATACAATAAACACGTGGCAAATATATTCATTTAGCATCATTCCTTTGTTTAAGTGGCTATTTTTCAGCCCTTAGAGTTTGTAAGTAGAATTTGGGCTCATAGTCTAGGTGTGGGCCGGGATGGTGACAAGTCAAAATGGCTCTCGAGCATGACTGTTAAGTCAGGTTGCTGGCAGAGACTAGGGGAGGGGAGGGTCCAGTTCTGTGAATTCTTTCACCTGCCACTAGGGCAGCTGGCTGGACTCCAATCTGTCCTAGTACTCAAGATCCCCGATGGTATTTTTCTCTTCTTGCCACACAAATTTCACCAGAGAAAGTACTCAGGACATGGTAGACCAAGTAGAAGAAAGAAAAAAAAAGTCCAAGGAAAAGCGCATGATTATAAAATAACACATATAAAAGACATAACTCAGTCTTCACCGGGGCTTGACACTCACTGTGTCAAAAACCATCCAACTTGTGTTTACTAAAGTTTTCCCGGTACAAAACGGAATTGACAGAGGAAAGACAAATAAAGCAGACTGGGACTCCCTTAGCCAACATAAATTAATGCAATGCTTTGCCCTATGAGGAAATCTGAAGCTAAACGATAGTGGACTTTCTCTGTTTGCCTGTATTCTATCAAACTTTCAAATTCCTGCAAAATCGTGCTCTTTTTTTTTTTCTGAGACACGTTCTTCATGAACATCATGTGTATATCAGTCACCACATTATAACATTATGTCCTATGCTAACACTACTATCCTGAATAAAATTAATAAATATCTCCATGCTGTTTTCTAACTACAGGGCAAAACTAAGAAATGCAAGATGTTCCAGTTTTCCAAAGCTTTGGTCTGATTTCTTCCAAATTTTGTTTGTGTGATCCTAAATTAATCTTTTCCCTGCTTCTGTTTAGCATCAACAAATAGGAAATAGTAGTATGTATCACTTCTTATGAGCCATGAGGGGTAATCCTTAATCTCTCCTTCCTTCAGTGTTGACTAAAAGTTTTTTACAGGCCAAGAGTGGTGCTAAAAATTCTGAGAATAAAAATGAGAATGGAAGATAGGCTTGCCCCTGCAAACGCTCACACTCAAAGAGGCTTTAGAGTTTATTCTCAGAAACAGACACATCTTCTCTGGTGTCAACAGAACAATAAAGAAAGAAAAAGAGAACTGCAAACCTAAGAAGCTCAAGACCCCCAAGACCCAAGGACAACAGACCAAATCAATATTCCTCTCCAGCGGCCCTGCGAAGATGAAGTATGAGCACATGTCTGTACACTTCACAAAATCAAAAAAAAACCCACATCCCAAAGGAGTTGACCCACACCCTAGGAAGCTCCTCAGATCCCACAGCATCTCAGAAAATAAAAAGAACCAGATTTTGTAAGCAGACAAATGTGACTGAAAAATCTGATTATCAACACGGGGCAAATTAAACTTTTGGCATATGCAGGACTAAAAGACAACATGTAAAATGAAATCTCATATGAGTAATTAAAAAAACAGATGTTTTCTAAAAGTATATGAAACATAAGTCCAGGATAAGTATATGTCAGTATGAATTTAGATTAATATTCAGTGCTAGAAACACATGAGTCAAAACATTTAAAAAGCATCAAATCTTTAAATAAAACCCCAAATACACATGAAAAAAATAAATCTTCAGTGCTTGTCCCAACCCACAAATACACCACAATATAATTACCAAAAGACATAGAGAAATATAAAGGTTCATACCAAAGTTATATTAAAGTTATAAGGATTTGTAAGCTCAGTAATAATCAAATTTCTCAAGAACTCCTCATCAGAATCTAATGAAGTACTCAGCTCACCACTGTTCCTTCTTTTCCAAATCTTGAATGTGAGCAGCTAAGAAAAGATGGGCCACATCAAAGTCAAAGCATGCAAATTTTTGACTGTTAAAGCTTAGACTCAAGATGGCTGGAAACAAGACTGCCATGTCCAGGCCCAAGTCAGGACAGTCCTTTATAAAAGCGGATTAATCTTTTTCTTCAGGCTTGGAAACTCTGGGCTATGTCTGGGAAAATAACTACTCCACTACCTGGATACTGGGCTCCCGTGTTTCTTCCAGACCTAAGATGAAACACTTTTCCTTATCTCATCTGGAGAAAAGAAATGGCTTCAAAGTCCAGGAGACAAGCCATATTGCAGGTGCCAATAGGATCAGAGCCCTTGTCGGATCACCTGACTTACAATTACCAGAGGAGGGAATGTGCCCAACACTTATCCAATTAAAAAATCCAAAATTAGCATATTTCCTTAGTGAAAATGCTCACAGATGTCTTACAGAATGTCACTATTAAATGGCAACTATTGGTCTGCCCATTAAGTGTGCTTCAGAATGATTTAACCAGCAGAAATATTTTCCAACTTGCAACTTTATCTCAAACCTGATAAAAAAAAAAATTCACCTGAAGGAATATGTATGTTCTTATACTAATAGAAGAATTCTAATTAGGTGGGGTTGAATATTAACATTTTCATGGCCTTAAAATGTTTTAAGTAACATGTACATGTATAAATGATATTTAATTAAGTAGAATATACATAAATGTTTCTCCTACAGGAAGCAAGGCATCCTGGTTTCCATTAATCTCCCTTTGATATTATTAAATCTTGGTGATCAGTAGAGTTAGGCGCTTTTAATATTAAATGTTTAAAATGGGGGTTAAAAGCATGACCATGTACTTACACAAGTCAACAGTACATCCTAAACCTGAGCTTTCCTATGAATTCATTCCCTTACAGTGGTTGAGTTCTTTAACCTTTGTATATATCACCTTCTTGTAGGAAAACTGAGAAAGATGAACGTTCATGGAGAAAGAGTCAGGGGCATAAGGTAATCTCACCAGATCTAGGTGTGTAGAGAAGGAATGGTTACAGTCACACGTTTCAGAAAGGAACTGCCAGTATCACAAATTTAATATAAAGTCAGTCCCACAATGCTTTTTTTGACTACTAGTAAGTAAGCCAGCATAGTATGCTAGTCAAAAAGTACAGGTTAGCTCTACCCCTGGCTCTCTCATGACTCCATTCTACTCTCAGCCAAATCAATTCATCAGCACAGAGCTAGCTTTTCTAGAATCTGAACAAATCAACGTCACAAAATGACAGAGATACATAAGTTGCTGAGATAATGTCTATCATTTTCTGTGATCTTGAGAGAAAACACCAAAGAAACAACAATTTTTTGAGTTGCTAAGGATTGAATGCAGCATCTCTCACATGCTAGATCAGTGCTTTACCATTGAGCTGTGTCTCCACCCCAAGAAAAACTAATTTGATAAAACCTCACCTGGTACAATCTATGTTGAACTCCTTCATAGACTTGTTAAGGAATAATCAGTGAAGATAAATAGTTTTGAACCTTTATTTTGTTTGTCTAACTCATTCATTCTCATCTTCTATTTATCCATACATCCATTTCAACCAGAAAGTTGAGTAGCCTTTACTGTATACCAGATATTCCATCATACAAAGGAGAAACACATTGGCATGCTCTCATACCTCCCACCTCATGGGTATTAACAAGTATAAGTGAATCAGAGTGCTGAGATCAGACATGGTTCGAGTATATCCCCTAAAGGTTCATATGCTGTAAGCTTGTCCCTGGTTAGGTAATGTTGGGAAGCTGTGAGGTCTTTAACACGTGACACTGAGGAAAGGTGCTTCCTAGGCCCACCTCAGCTCCTATCACTCTGGATCCTTCCGTAATACAAACCACTGTGGGAATATCACTAGAGCCAATGCCAGTACCATGTCTATCAATCTCTAAAACTATGCGCCAAATAAACTACTTTTGTAATAAAGTATTCAATCTTGGGTATTTTGTTACAGTAACAGAAAACCAAGTTATATAGAAAATGGGTACTGAGCCGGGTGGTGGTGGCGCACACCTTTAATCCCAGCACTCGGGAGGCAGAGCCAGGCGGATCTCTGTGAGTTCGAGGCCAGCCTGGTCTCCAAAGTGAGTTCCAGGAAAGGCGCAAAACTACACAGAGAAACCCTGTCTCGAAAAACCAAAAAAAAAGATAAAAGAAAATGGGTACTGAGAAGTAAGATCATCACTGTTACAATACCTGAAAAATCTGGAATTGGCTATGGAGCAATGGGATAGACAGTAGTTGGAAGAGTACTAGAAAAGGCAATACAAAGATTCTGGGTAGAAGACTTGGAAGATTGAAACCTGTAGCAGAGCTCAGATCATAGAAAGAATGATCCTATTGAAAACTGAGGAAGAGACTCGCTTTATTAGGTCCACTGAAGAACAACTTAGCTGCATTGTAACCATGCCCAAAGACTCTGTAGAAAGCCAAGCTTAAAAGCCATAGAGTATTTTGTCCAACAGAATTGACAACAAAGCACTTGGATATCAGCATTGGTATTATTGACCATGTTTTGTTAGACTGGTAATGAGTTCCAGGAGCAAGAGAAAACAGAAAAAGAAACCTCTGAAGTACTCACAGCCTGATCAGAGAAAGAGAAAATGGCATGTTCTGGAGAATAAAACCATGGTC